GACAAACGCTACATGTTAGTTGGACCCAGGATGAGTATAGGATCTACTATAGTCCCAGGAAGCCATGCCAATACTCTAGTGCTGCCTGACAGGAGGGGAACATCTGGAGAGGTAAGATTACTTCAGTGGAAATTGTGAGGTGACTAAATGTGTTATTTGTCTGCAAAACATCAACTCTGTGTCATTGAGTGAGATTTCTCAAAGTATGGCATTGGATCTGCTGGCTTTGGTTTACCCTGACAGTTATGACTTCATGTGCCTTTTGGACTAAGTTTTGGCGACAGCGTTGTTTTTTGCAGTCTCATTCTTGGTCAATATCTAAATGAAATCTTTCAGACGGAGGTGAGGACTGTAGTATTGAGCTTTCTCTCTGCACAGTGTCACTTAATGAAGTTTTCACATGTATGAGATTTTTCTAATGAAATGCTTTCTGCAAAGTTAATCATGCATACGGTCACATTCAGTGAAAAAAACATTTAGACGTCATAGGTTTGTAAACAATTAAAACTTGAAATTGAACACTACCATCAAATGCAGGTGGACAGATCTAAACTCAGTTGGTCTGGTCGCTGTCCATGGTGCTGAATGTGAGAGCTCAGATTATCCGGTGTTCAAAAACTGTCAAACCGATTACTAACTGTATCAAAGTATTTTAAATCGTGCCACTTGATGTTGTAATATAAATGTATTTTAAGGTTTTATGTAGACTCTTAACCTTCTAAGAGGCTTCCCTCTATGTCTTTATTAAATGGATGTGCAGTGCTGTCAGAATGCAGCCACTACAAATATTTAAATCGACCTCTATTTGGACACATCTTTACTGCACAAAAACGCAGTTCGGTTGAAGTACCGGTGGCGTTTGATTTTTTGCTGCGAGAATTTAAATCGCATGGTGTCAGTGTAACATCAAAAAGCAGTCCAGCACGAGCTCGTTATTGTGACGCTCTGGTTCCACCTCTTTCGGGAGTCCTCCAGCCGATGCAGTCGTTTCTGAGCTTACCGCTGCCTTTGTAAAAACTGTTCCCCATCATGTCTGTCGTTGTTGGAAGAGGATGAACAATTTCACACGTCTAAGAGTTGGATGTTGTCAGTATAACGAAGTGGTCGTTTATCTGAGGGATTTTTGACTAATACGCGTGTAACGATGGAACAAAGAAGATGCGAGGGGCGAACGGCGCATGGATATTTGATCAGCTGCTTGGTTGCGGTGCTTTTGTGGAGCGTGGCCGCGGCGCAGTTAAGGTATTCAATCTCTGAGGAAGTAAACGAAGGAACTGTGGTTGGAAACATCGCAAAAGATCTTGGATTAGATAAGAACACGCTGAGAGAGAGGAAGTATCGCATTGTCTCCAGTAACGCGGATCCTCT